GTGTGTGTGTGTGTGTGTGTGTGTGTGTGTGTGTGTGTGTGAGAGAGAGAGAGAGAGAGAGAGAGAGAGAGAGAGAGAGAGAGGGAGGGAGGTGGAGAGGGTGAGAGATTGGGGGTATGATCGTACATTTTGATAGCAGAGCTATGTGGGGAGGCTGTTGAGTGGGGTCACCTTGCCCTGATAGGTCCCATTCCACCTGCCCGGCAAAGCTGGACAAGTCACGAAGGCCCTGCAAGCCATCTTTTCGGCGAAGGGTTGGATTGGTGTGGTTATTATTTTTCTGTGCATTACAACTGGTTTCTAAATCCGAGCTCGGTTCCTAAGAGTCTAAGACCATTGTCAGGCTTCATAGGGTTTGTCACGGTTGTGAAAGGGCTCGCCACTCTCAAGGGATTTCAAGGTATGTACCAAATTTCCTTTTTAGAAGTTTTTTTTTTGAGTATTTTCTCTCGAGTTTCGTAGGGAATTTTGAGCCGACCCTCTGCGGTTATTTTCTTCATTTAAACTGGAGCCTAAGTCTGAGGTTGGTTCCAATAACCATATTCAGGCTTCATAGGGGGTTAGACTCTTTAGAGGTATGTACCAAATTTCCCTTTTCAGAAGTTTTTTTTTTTTTTTTTTTGAATATTTTGAATTGTTTTATCATTTCAAGGGTTTAGACGTATGTACCAAAAATTTCTTTTTCAGAAGCTTTACTAAATTTTCCTTTTCCAGAAGTACTAGATTTTCCTTTTTCAGAAGCTTTAACTAAATTTTCCTTTTTCAGAAGCGTTTTTTTTTTTTATAAATAATTTATCTTTTCTTTGGCAAGGAATTTCAAATCAATCCTCTCGCGAGCGATGATTGTATTACAAGTGTGCGTGCACATGATGTACTCTTTTATTTTCAGATTTTGCACACCTGCTGGCGTCAGGGTTGTGGGGTTGCTTGTACGGCGAGATCTATCTAGACTGGATCTGGACAATCCAGTGTCCAGATCTTGCTAGATCTCCAGGCTCATAACCTAGCAGCAGAGTCAATCACCTACCCAGGTCAGATCGCTTCTGGACTTCCGCTGCTCATGCAGCTTAGCCGGTAAGTAGCCTTTCGAAAACTCAGAAGTGTTTGTGTTTGCCAGCAATGCACATGTCTGCATGTTTGGGGCTCGTATGTGCATCTCAATATCACGCAGCTAGCTCTCTTTCCCGTTTCTTCAGCAGATATATCTGTGTGTGTGCTTTTACGAGATGTGTTTGTGTTTGCCATTGCAAAGCTTTGTTTTTTTTTTTTATGCCTTGTGAGTCCTGACCCTACTTGGCTGGTGTCCCATCTGGTCGGCTTCGTGCTGTTCTTTGTCCTCTCGTCGGATGCCATTGTCATGTTGCTGTCAGAGTTGGAGAGAGAGAGAGAGAGAGAGAGAGAGAGAGAGAGAGAGAGAGAGAGAGATTAGCGGACAAGTGCTCTCTCTCATTCTGATTTCTGTCTTTCGGTTATTCAGGATCAAGCTTAATGTGATGATCGCGGTTTAGAAGTAACAAGGACAAAGA